GCCTCCCAAGTAGCTGGGACCACAGGCGCCCGGCTATTTTTTGGTTGCAGCCATCATTGTTGTTTGCCGGGTCCGGGCTGGGGATTCGAACCCGCCACCTTAGGTGTACGTGGCTGGTGCCTTAGCCGGTTGAGCTATAGGCGCTGAGCCTAATTGTTTTTTGTTATTACTATTAGAAATTTTCTCATGTTTATGCTTTTAAAGGTCACCAAGGAAGAAGGACTGGCTTTGGCCCGAGAATTCAACTGTCCTTTTTTTGAGACATCTGCTGCATACCGCTACTACATTGATGATGTTTTCCATGCACTTGTTCGGGAGATACGTAGGAAAGAAAAGGAGGCAGTATTGGCCATAGAGAAAAAATCTAAGCCCAAGAGCAGTGTGTGGAAGAGACTAAAATCACCATTCCGGAAGAAGAAAGATTCAGTAACTTGAAGGGAAGATGTGAAGTGTTTATCTGCGAACCGCAGCGCTTAATCAGAGCAGTCCAGTAACCTGCAGTAGTGAGCATGTACTTGCTCTTTCTCCTGTTATGACCATTATTGCAAAAGTAACTGATAAGAGGGACAAGCCTACTAGGAGTTTTTAATGATGTGGTATTTAAAGTATTGTTTCAGTTAATTCTGATTTATTAACCTGGTAGAGCACTGTCATCTTTTAAATTGTCACATTAGAATTTGATCTACCAATGTTTTGGGTTCAGTTGCTAATATTAATTAATGTACATTGTTTATACCCAGGAGAATATGTATACTGTGTGTGTTTGACTACGTTCATAGCAGAATTTCTTGCACTCCATGTTATCTTTCAACTTCACTTTCTTGGGACTATCCCAGAGAAGGGCCTCCATCTCTTATTTACACCATGACTCCTGGAGACAAAACAAAAATCATATATGAAAATCAGGACTAAAGTTCAATATATAGGTGTAGAGTTGACTCCTCTCAAAGATTATGGGGGGAATGGGATTTGGGGAAATCAGGCTGTATGTTTGCACGGACTTGACTAGAAAAAGGTAGGGTCCAGAATGATGTTTCCAGTACAAGCTTGCCTTTTCTGAGAAGTGCACGTTTGACCCAGGTGTGCTGGGATGAGCAAGAACAGACAAGTGTATAACGTGTAATGAAGTCATGTTATCCTTCCTTTCGGGGTTTTGCCATTTCTTAAAAAAAGAAAACTCTTCAAAGGTAAATATTTTGGGAACCACTACTGTACCTGTTGTATTATCAATCTCTTTGTTTCATCTGAATCCTTAGTTGGGACAGTCATTGCCATGTACAGGTTTGTTTTTTTCCTCATAGACACACGCACCAATGTGTTTACATTAATTGCTTCATCGTTCTTTTGCTTTACCTGCCCTGTACAGGTATACCTGCACCTAGAAGACTCATACCCAGCAAAGTGTTTTTTAGGCACTTGATCAGATGATCACTTTGTGCATGCAGAAGAGACATCATTTGAGTAAAACTGTATATTGCCTCATTGACACCAACAGTCATAGACTCAGGGCTCTAAGAAAATCTGTGGTGTTTCTGTTTAATTAATCCTGAAGCTTTAAAATTCTCATAGGTTGAGTTTCTCACCTGCAGATTTCTTTACAAGGATTTTACTAAGTTCACCTCAGGGTTGTCTGAGCCTTGACAAAATTTAGCCTAAGAGAATTCCACTTTGCTCCCTGTGCATAGCTGGGAAACTAGTCCTAGGAAGAAACAGCTTTAAATAGTGGTGGTGGAGTCCTCTATTTTGAGATCAGAACTATTTTTCATTTGAACTTGTTATGTATGGAGAGTACATGCAGAAGTGCTGAAATCAACGCACTTATATGTTGCTGTGGCAGTTTTTGTGTCCCCTTGAAACTCTTAAGAAGATGACTTTGTGTCTGTAGCACCATCTTAGGCGTACACAGCTCAGCTCACTACTTTCCATTTTTAGTAGAGACCATAGGACTGGGTTATTGTGCTTTTCTTTATAAAGTAATGATGAACATTCTAGATTTAAAGAAAAGTGACTGTTTTGTCTTTTTTAGCTCTAAGTAGTAGTCCCTTTTGAAACTGTTGGAAACATTTTTGCTAC